GGCTCCGTTGCCTACTCATGGTCTCAATTGTGAGAGCAGGAGCCCCTCAAGAGCAGCGTCAGTCTTTTATCTTTCTCAGTATCCTCAGCAATTAGCACAGTGCCTGGTAACAGAAGGTGCTTAATAAATGTTTACTGTTGAGAGAGGCCAAGGATAATAGCGATAATGAAAAGATAGGCAGGATTCCAGCCCAGGGAGCCTTCGCTCCAGGCAACCCTAGACTCAGAGCCAGAAGAGACTTCCCTTTGCCAGCCAGAGTGCCTCATGCACTATCTCCCTCCCCCTAAGGCAACCCATGCCCCCTTTGGGTAGCTCTAAAACTCAGCAAGTTTTCCCTCTGTGGAGGGGAAATCTGACCCAGTCTACTTTCTCTGGCCAGGGCGCATTCCCAGCAGCCACCACTCCTGCGGGTCAATGGGAACAGAAAAGGGGAGAAGGCAGGAGAGGGGAGGGGTCCCTGCTGTGGTTGGGTCCCACTTTCCCTAGGAGGCAAAGCCTATGCAGCCTTCTAGGGGAGAGGCCTCCCCTCCAGGAGGGTAAAAACCGGCTCTGAATTAGGGGAGATCACATCCCCTGCAGGGCAGACCAGCCTGACTGATCGGCATGGGATAAAGGCTGAAGCTCCAAAGCCCCAGACTCGGAGAAGGCCCCGTCCTGGTGAGGACCTCAGAGGCAGCCGTTCTGCCATCCCCGAGTCACCGGCGTGAGTCCTCTGGTGCTAAATCCCTGCCTGGCTGGCTCTGCCCCACTCCCTCCTCCCCTAGGCTCCCTCACTCCACTCTCACAGCCCCACAGATGTCCCATCTCCCGTCCACAGTCTCCCCAGAGAGAGTCCCGGGAGAAGGAAGCCAAAGGGTACTTCTGCCTTCACACCGAAGATAGCCTTGCCCCCCCTGGGGGGATTCAGCAAAGCAACCCACTCCCAGTGAGGGCCACACCCATCTCCAGGTTTGAGGGGTCAGTCGGTCAAGAAACATGGATTTAGCACCTGTGCTAGGTGTGGGAGCAGAGGCTACCCATGTGGACGTCTGCCTCCTACTTGGGGACATCCAGATGAGGGCGGGAATTGGACGTGGAATTCTGACAAGGGGGAGGGACTCTGGAAAGGCTGACTGGAGGAGCAAGCACCTAAGCTGTCTTTACAAGGACATGGAGTTCTCGCCACCACTGCTTTGGGTAGCTGGTGCAGAGGGATAAGAGATGCCTGCACAGGGGAGAGGGAGGGGGAGAAGGGGAGAGGAGGAGAGGCAGAAGAGGGAAGGAGGAAGGAGAGAGGAGAGAGAAGAGGAGGAGGAAAGAGAGACAGGAGGGGAGGGAGGAGGGAGAAGGAGGGGGAGGAGGAGGAAGAGAGGGAGGGAGAGGGGAAGAAGGGAGAGAAGATCTGGGAAGAGAAAACTGCCCATCGTGATCACTTAATAGGAATGTTTTGCACAAATAAACTGATGCATTCAACTAGAAGTGAGACGACCTCCTAGGCCAATACAACACCAAGTCTGGGGAAGATTGGGCAGGGAGGCCCACAGGGGGATGCAGGCCCATGAAACTGGCAGGGCTAGGGCGGGTCGCAAGGAAAGTGAAGGGGCTGAAGTCTCCCTTCTGGTCAGTATAGGCCTCCAGTGAATGGAGCGCCTGGCCTGAAGTCCGAGGACCTGAATTCAAGTCTGACCTCAGACACTTCCTAGCTATATGTGACTTCCTGGGCAAGTCACAGAAACTTGTGCCTCAGTTTCCTCTTTCAAATTTTTAGACCTTTACAAAATTGTTGTTATGCTCAATCAGCAAACATTTAAGAGCCTAAGAGGCAAAAGACAGTCCCTGCCCTCAAGGAACTTACCCTCTCATGAGGGAGACAACACATAGAGAAATGTATACCAAGCAGGCTAGACCCAGGATAAATGGGAGATGATTAGAAGAGTGAAGACACTGGACCTCAGAACCATTGGGGAAGGCTCGGGAGAAGTGGGATTTGGGTTGGGACTTCAGGAAGCCAAGGAGGTTGGTGTGAGCACAGGAGGGAGACAGCTCCGGCCTGGGGACAAGACAGGGTCTGGTTCATGGCCTGGCCAGAAGGCCTGCCTCACTGGATCAGAGTGGGAGTTAAGGAGGAGGGTGTAGGAAGACGGCAGGGATAGGGGTGGCCTAGGTTCTGAGGGGCTTTGAATGCCAGAGCATTCCATTTTTGCTCCTGGAGGCCATGAGGGCCACTGGAATTTACGTGTGGGGGGGGAGTGGAGTGACGTGATTGGACCTGTATCTGGGAAAGCAGCTGGCTGAGGCACAGATCCCCCACTCTCCCAGGGGCTCCTTTGCTGGCTCCTCCTCCAGAGGACACCCCCTGACCATAGGCATCCCTCAGGGGTCTGGCCTGGGCCCTCTTCTCTTCTCCTTCCCAACTACTTCACCTCGTGATCTCATCCACTCCCATGGATTTCATTACCATGGGGTGCTGATGATTCTCTGGACCTACTAGTCCAGCCCTAAACTCTACTGACCTCCAGGCTCCCAATTCCAGCTGCCTTTCTGAGGTGTTTAACTGGGTGTCCAACAGACGTCTTAAACTCAAAATGTCCCCACCTGAACTCATCGTCTCTTCCCCCAAACTCCCCCCATCCTACCTTCCCCATTCCCAACACAGTCCCTCAGGCTCCCATCCTGCATTCCTCGATGCCTCTCACCCCCCACATGCAGTAAGGCTCCAAGGCCTGGCCATCTCACCTTAGAACAAACATCTCCAAGGGGACATTTGTGGAGCACTGAGCACAGCATTGGCTTGTTGGCTTCCACTGCCCAGCCTCTCATGTCCAGCCTTTTCCATTGACCTGCCTCCAGCATTCAATCAGAACCAGATAGTTGTTATGGTTGTTACTTTCTAATACAATCTGAGGTCTGCAAGTGCTGTTTACCCTTCATCCTTACCTCTTTTCAGCATTGGTTTTTCCAAATGAATTTTGTCATTATTTTTTCGAGTTCCATCAAGTATCCCCTTAAATCTTCCCTTCTACAGGAAACCTTCCCTAACCCCTTTAATTCCAGTGCTTTCCTTCTGTTAATCGTTCCAGCCTCATTCTATAGACAGTTTGATTTGCATAGGTTTGCTTGCATCATGTTGGCTTCCCCATTCGATTGTAAGCTGCTTGAGGGCAGGGACTGTCCTTTGCCTTTTTTGTATCCTGGGTGCTTAGCACAGTGCCTGGCACATAGCAGGCACTTATTACGATTGCTCACACAGGGCAAGCGCTCATGTGGAGGCCAGAAGAAGCAATACAAGGACACTGTCAAGGTCTCTCAGAAGAATCTGGGACCTGGAAGACACTGGCACAGGACCACCCAGCATGGTGCTCTTTTTTTTTTTTTTGCCTTTTTTGTGACTTGGTGTTTTTATGTGAGAGTTAGGCTCTGGTCCTGCACTGTCCCAAGCATTTTGTGCTGGGGCTCCGGGTCTTACTGCTGGCTTTCACTGGGCTTCAGGGCTCAGCTGCTTGCTTTCTCTGGAGGCTTTCCTTCTGGCTTGTACTGAGGGGTGAGGCCTCCCCCCGGTTTAGAGTTTAGTTGCTGGCCTGCTTCAGGGGTGAGGCCTTGCTGCTGGGTTGCTATGGAAACAGGGTCTCTCTGCAGGCAGGCCCTAGGGGAGGGGTCTCACTGTTGGTCAGCCTCAGGGCGGGGCTTCGCTACTGGTCAGCAATAGGGTCAAGGCTTCACTGGTGGCTCGTGCTGGGGGTGAGGCCTTGCTGGACAGCACAGACTACTGGCTTGCCTATTGGATGGATTGCCCCAGGCTTGGAGCCTTGCTACAGATCCCCTGCTGGGAGGCTGGCTGCTGCTGCTGCTGCTGCTGCTGCTCCTCTTGGACCTCACCCCCCTGCCAGGCTGGTCAGCTATCTCCCTGCTTCTGGATCCAATTCTCAGGCAGTTTGCTAGTTGTTTGGAGGGGAATTTGGCAGCACTTCAGAGGGTTCCTCCCTCGCTGCCACCTTGGCACTGGAAGTCCTGGTCTTTCACAACATGACTAATATGGAAATATGTTTTGCATGATCACACACATACAACCTATGTCAAATTGTTTGCCTTATGGGGAGGGGGGAGGGAATTTCAAACTCAAATTTTAAAAAATGAATGTTAAAAACGGTTTTTACATGCAATTGGAAAAAACAAAATATAAAAAAACCAATTACTATCACATTTGATTCTCACAACAACCCTTTGATGGAGGTGCTATAACAATCCCTATTATACAGATGGAGAAACTGAAGCAGATATCAGTGAAGTGACTTGCCCAGGGTCATTTGGTTGACAAGTGCCTGAGGCTGAACTCCTGGCCCAGAGCTCTATCCACGGCACCACCAGCTGCCTCTAAAAAGGAAACAAAACCCTTGTGGCCTTGGCCATTTCCAGAATGCCCTCCATCCTCGCCCCTCCGCACACTCTGGAACATCACGTGGTCCCTGGTTCGGTTCTCTGGGCTTTAATCCACGAAAGTCTCCCCAGCCTCCATGACATCAGCCCCGGGTAGTGGGTCCACTTTGGGGCTGCTTACGCCTCCCAGTGTGGCCGCTGGCTTCAGGGGCACACACATTCTAATGCTTTTCAGAGAGGTTGGACTACTTGGAGTGGCAAAGTCAGGAAGACCAGAGTTCAAATCCAGACTAGGACACTTGTTAAGCAGGGTGACCCTAGCAAGTCACTTCACCTCTGTCTGCCTCGATTTCCTCATCTGTAAAATGGGGATAGCACCTTCCTGAGATCAGTTCCTGGTCTCTTAGACCTCTAAGAGCCTCTGATGGCTCTCTGTCCAGCCAGGTGCCTTGGTCTCTCTGGACCCGTGCATTCCCAGCCAAAGCCTCAGGCTCCGAGTTCCCCAGGAGGAACTGTAGCCATGGAGACGCAAAGCCATCCTAGGCAGGCTGGATCTGATTGGCTAAGAGGCTACTCGGCCCCACCCTCGCATGCGCTCCACTCTAGACATGCGCGACAGATCAGGCTGTGAAGAACGGGAAGCCTGAAGGATTCTGGAATCTGTAGTCCAGCGTGTTCTAAATGCAGGCGCACTATGGTACCTGAGGCTAGGTTGGGAGCGCACCCGCGTCCGTCATTACAAATGGCTTCCGCGTTTCCGGGCATTGTCTGAGTGGCCGTCTACCTGTGGCGGCTTCTTTCTCACGACCCAGAGAAGCGCTTTTCTATCCGGTAGGTGTGGACTTTAACATCCCAGGCCTTCTGGCCCCCAACCGACTTCTCAGCTTCCGGGGCTGGGCTCACGAGTTGGGCAGGAGGGAAGGAGAGTAAAACAGACGGGGCCAGGTGACGTCACCGGTTGCTGGGGTTTGGAGTGGGAGTGTAGCGCTGAGGCTGGTGACGTCACCGGTTGCTATGGCTAGAGGGGCAGAGTATAAAGCTGGGACTGGTGATGTTCCAGGTTGAGATTATTAGTGGGGCAGAGTGTAAGGCTGGGGCCGGTGACATCGCTGGTTGCTAGGGTGGTTGGGTACCATCTCCCTGCTGATCTCCGACCCTTCCCTTATAGGCTAAAGCCCAAGATGGATTGATTGACTCCGGGTGAGCTTGGTTGCTGGGGGCTAGGTTCTCAGCTCGCTCCATTGGCCCCCAGGCTGGCCCTCCCTGTCTCGGGGAGGACATCGGGCTGATTTGGGGTGATGGACTTGGCTACCACCCTGGCACAAGAAGGACCCTGTTGCTGTTTGGTGAAGGCCCTTTGGCTCTGCTGAGAGCTGACCATTGCACCTCACTGTCGTTCCTCCCCATCAGAGCCTCATAGTGGAGGGCTGAGATTGGTGGGTGTGGCCAGTGACCCGGCACCTCCTGGCTGGGCTTGGGGCTGTGATCTCTAGACAAAAACCTAGCCAGACTCAGCCCTGAGAGAACATGCGTTGTCCCGAAAGGCCTCACCTGGTGGACAGCGTTGTAAACTTCCTCCTGGGAAAGGCCAGTGTTCTTTCTCCTGTGGCCTCCCTGTGACTGAGTTTCCCCTCCATAAAGTGGTGAGGTCTTTGCCCAGACCAGAACCCTCCCCCGTCCCCTCCTCTGGCCCTTCACGAAACACCAAGCTTTCCTCACAAAATCCCTGTCAGGGCAGGGTTCCATAAGGATCACAGATGGGGAAACTGAGGCTTGGAGAGGCCAACGACTGGCCCAGATCCAGCTGAGACTCCCAGACCAGAGCTCAAAGAGAGGAGTTAGGGCTGGAGAGACCCGGGCTGGAAAAGAGCCCTGGATATGTGGCAGTGGTGTGGTCTTAGGCTGGTCACTTGTCCCCTTTGAACGTCACTCACCTCCCTGGACTCATAAGAGGCTGAGGGGTGGGAGGCCCAGTGCCAGCCTAGGGATGTGACCATCTCCTTGGGCAGGGGGCTGAACCCCTCTGAACCTTATTCTCTTCTTCTAGATGAGAAGCCAGGGCCCTGCCCTGCCCTGCCCTGCCTCCCTGAGCCCAGGGGGATCCTCGGGAGAGAGAGCTCCATCCTCCTTTTCTGTTTTATTGAGGGGTGGTTGAGCTCCTCGGGTGCTCTGGGGGACCCACACCTTGGTGTCCTGAGGGTCCTTGTGTGGCCTTCCTGGGGGCCAACCCCACCCCCCAGCTCCCTCAGGCACTATGGGAGACCCACTCCATGGTAAACAGTGAGAGAGAGGGGTGGGCTGTGTGGGGTTGCGTCCCTCAGATCCCTCAGTGCTATGGGGGACCCATGCCCTGGGGCCCTGTCTCTGTGGGGTTGGGGAGTGAGATGTGTAAGTGGGGCCTCCCCCGGCTCCCCCACGTCCTACACATGGCCCATTAAATGGCCTTCTTAACTGGCATGTATACCTCCTCAGACCCCTGCTCCCTCCTGCTGACATCCCCATATTCTGCCCTTAGCAGCCACCCTTGAAGGGATGGTCCCAGGGTCCCAGCAGCCTCGGAAGCCATCTACCTGAGGAAGCTCTGAGGCCAGAGGACCCAGCCAAGGACTCGGACCCTGGGACTGCAGGGGGGATTGGCCAGCCCCAGTGAACCCCCACAGAGGATGGCTTAGCCCTGGTGGCCTGGATGCTCGAGGAGGGGGGTAAGAAGGGGATTTGGAGTCAGGGGCCCTGGGTCCCAACTCTGCCACCTTGGACACATCCTTTCCCTTGCTCGACCCTCAGTTTCCCCTGCTGTAAGAGGAGGGAGGGCCTTTGATCCCACAGAATCTATTAGGATGGGAAGGGAGGGGGCTGGGAAGAAGCCAGCTGAGGGGCAGAGGAGGAGCAGAGGCTGCCCTGGCTCTGGTGGAATCTTCTTGGCCCGGCCTTGCCAGCCTTCTGGGGCTTTGGACAGTCATTCTGTCCCCCTAAGCCCCACCTTATTCTGCCCAGGGTGGGCAGCCAGGTGGAGGACCTGGGTGTCGGGCTGTCCCTGGGGAGGAGCAGGGCCTGCCCAGGCGGCTCCTCATATCTTCTGTAAGTGAAGGCGGTGGCCATGGAGGGGCAGGCCCGGTGCCCGGCTGTGCCCCCAGCGCTCAGGGATGGAGGCCAGCCTTGGGTCCCTTCTGGCTCTTGTCCCTGTTTGCCAGGTTGGGAAACAGGCTCCCACACAGGGCCCCACAGCCAGTCAGTGAGGTTCAGAGGCTAGGATCTGACCCCGGCTCCCTCCTGCCCCCATTTCCAGTGACCTTTCTGCTCCAGCACCCGGGAGGAGCTCTGTCCCTGAAGCCCACTAGGAGCACGAAGCTGGTAGCAGCCGCCGAAGCACGTGCCCACGGTTCTGTCCTTCAAGAGGAGGGTAGGGGTCCAGGCGGCCTGCCAGGGCTGGGACCCTGCTCCCTCATGGCTCCCTTCTCCTCCCCCAGCTCTGCCCATGGAGGGTGCGGCCCACCCCCCAGAAGAGGAGGAGGGGAGAGGAGTCCCGGGGTCCCCGAGGGCTGCTCCCCTGGTGAGTTGGGGCTTCCTCAGGGCACACGTGGGCCCACTGATCGCGGTGATTGTGAACCACAGTGGCTTCCATGTTGGGTCTAGATTCAGGGTTTGCAAAGCACTTTTAGCTGCGTTGTCCCAGGGAGATGGAGGAGGCAATTAGGGTTATCACCATTTAGCAGATGGAGAGACTCCACGAGGCTTGGAGAGAAAAGGCTGTTCCTTGGGCTTCCAGGGAGCCAGCCCACCCCAGGGCCTTCCCCCTTCATCTGCACGGATTGCGCATTATTCTGTGGCGTAGAGAGCTGTCCCCTGTGTGCTCAGACATCTCTTCTCCAGGGCAGTGCAGGGTCAGAGTTCCCCGAATCTTGAACCAGAACAAGGTCCTGATAGGTTAAAATGCAGACCCCAGTCACTGGGTGTGTCCCAGCTGTGGGATCCCTTTCCTGGGCATGGGCTCAGCTTGGGGCTGCCCGCCCCCTTTGCCTCTTGGCTCCTGGACAGAGGGAAGTTCACTCCTAAAAATGCACTTCCTCAAATATGTTTAATAGGAACACATATGTAAAGCCTCTCAGATTGTGGCACTGTCTTGGGGGGAGGGGGAGAAAAATTTTAAACTCACAAGCTTATGGAAGTGATTGATAAATCAAAATAAATTAATAAAAATTTAAAAAAGAAGCGCTCCAGGGAGTCCTGGGCTGAGCGAGGCTTGGTGTGCCGTTTCCTTGTGTCGTATTGTGTTTCTAGCTCCAGACAGTGTACTGTCTCAGGGACGTTGGCCTGGTGTGGAACCGAACGAACGAGAAAGAGGAGTTTTCATGCTAAAGAAGGGGTCGTTTGTTAATATGATTCCTAGAGTTTTTACAGGAATGGGCGTTCTGTCTTTAAAGTTTCTCTTTTTCTTCGATTGATATGATCATAACATTCTTGTTATTAATATGATCCATGATATTTATGGTTTTCTTAACGCTGAAACAACCCTTCATTCCTGTTACACATTCAGCCTGGTCTCAATGGGTAATCTTTGTTATATGTTCCTGCATCTCCTCACTAGTATTTTATTAAAAATTCCTGATTAAAAAAAAAAAAGATGTACTTCCTCCCAGGGGCCCTTGGGGAGGGCCTGCGGGCTGGTTCCCAGAGATTCCATAGGGTCGTGGCTGTAGGCTGGCTGCTCCAGTCCCTTCACTTCACAGAGGAGGAAACAGGCTGGGGGAGATTGGCATGCTCCTCGTCCCCCCAGAGCCCTTCTCAACCCGGCCCCTTCCTACCAGTCCAGGCTTTAGACCTTTTGCTGCCATCCCACCCCTTCCACAGACCAGTGACTCAGGCCTCCTCCTCCCACCTCTGTCAGGGCGCCCCTCTTGGCCCCCCTGGTCTTCTTCACATCCCTACTGAGACCTCGCTTCTGCCCAAGACCTTTGGCATGCCCTACCCCCACCCCCGCCATGGGCGCTGCCCCCAGGAACCATCCATTCATACCGTAAGGAGGGTGTCTGTGGGGTCTCCCCATTAGACGGGAAGCTCCTCAGGCCAGAGGCCGGTTTTTTGCCTTTCATTGATTCCCTAGCTTAGCATCAGGCATGGCACAGAGCCAGGGCTCTGTCACTAGACTGTGCTTCCTGCCCAAAGTGCCCCCACCTTGCCAGGCCCTGCCCTTGGGCTAGGGATGCGGCACTGGAGAGGGAACCCAGTGCCCAGGGTCAGGGGAGGAAGGGAGTGTGGCAGGTTCATCCCCCCAATGTCCGATGGGAGGGGAGGAGCCCAGCAAGGGCCAGCGACCGGCCTGGGCTCACACAGCCAGGAGGGGTGGCGTCCTGGGTCCTGCCAGTCCAAACTCAGAACAGAGGCCAGGAGCACGGGGGCCTTGAAGGAAACTGAGGCACACAGAGGGCCAGGATTGCCCCCAGGCCACACAGGTAGTAACGAGCAGAGCCCACGTGAATAACAGGGTCTCATGGCTGAAGCCCAGTGCTAGGCCCGCGGAGCCACGTGGCCTCCATGGTCTGGGTATCCGGCCTGGTCTGGTCTTTGCCACAGCTGAGTCTCCCCTTCCACAAGATGACCATCAGCCCCTCAAGGCAGAGACTGTTGTGTGTCCTGCATCTGGACCCCACTCCCTTCCCCCGGAGACCCTTGGTAAAAGCCCTGGGTCCCCAGCCCAGCCAGGCCCTGTCCAGGTCCCCTGGGGGCCTCCGTCCTTCTGTTCCGGGGCCAGCAGGCATGTGCTCCATGTTTCAGGAGCCCGTGACCTTCAGGGACGTGGCCGTGGACTTCACTCCTGAGGAGTGGGGGCAGCTGGGCCCGTCTCAGAGGCAGCTGTACTAGGACGTGATGCTGGAGACCTAGCGGAACCTGGTCTCCCTGGGTAAGGCAGCTTCTCCTGCGCCCCCCTAACCCCACCCCTTAATTCAGTGTCTGCTCTCAGGGCCAGGCGGGGGTGTCTGGGGGCTGAGCTGCTCTTGGTCCTGGGGCTGCTGGCCTTGGTGACTCAAGGGGTCACCAATCTTGTGCTGCAGGGATCTCAGAGTTCCTCGAGCCCAGAGCATGCTTTCACAGATGAGGAAAGCGGAGCCCCACAAGGGTAGGAGGTGTGCGTGAGGAGCAGAGACTTGAATCCAAGGTCTCACCAGGGAGGGGCCTTCCCTCTGCTGCAGGGCCACAGCCCTGAAGCCTCCTGGCCCCAGGTGGCCCTCTCCTCACCATCCCTGTGTCCTGCCCCCTGGGCCTGTGCTGCTCATTCTTCTTGGGCCCATGCCTGGTCCACCTTCCTGTGGTGCGGGGGCCTCCAAGGAGAGGCAGCCCCCCAGAGTGAGTCATGCCCCTCCCACCATGACCCCCAAGGCCAGCAGAGCCCTTCACTGTTCCCAGCCCCAGACGTGGCAGTGCCTGGCATACAGTGGGCAGGTAATGCTGTCTGAGCTCCAAGCAGGGCTCCTCAGAGCAGAGCCTGGGTGGTTCTGACGCTGGGGCACCTGGCTGCCCTCCAATGGGGGGTCCTCCCACCCGGCCCAGAGAGCTGTGCTGGGTCGGGGCCTTCACTGCCTTCTCTGGGTCTTAGTGTCCTCAGCCGTCAAACAGGGCGGGTGAACAGTATGGCATCTGAGGGCATAGGCAGGGTCACAACTCTAAAACTTCCTGCCTCTTGCTAAGCTGAGGGGCATGGCAGTCAGGATCCCAAAAGATCTGGACAGGCTGATGCTAGAGCATGGGGTGGATCTCTGGATCAGAGGTCAAGTCTTGCACTTGGGCACCTTCCTCAGTCTAAGACGGGAAGGCAGGAATCAGTAGCAATCGTTCTGAAAAGAATCTGGGAGTCTGAGTGAGCCACAAGCGCCGTACGAGTCACCAGTGAGACGTAGTGGCTGAAACGGCGAATGGGGTCTTGGGCTGAACTTCTGGGATGGAGGAGGGCCGAGTCCTACCACCCTGTGCCCTGGTCCCATCTCAGCAGGAGGACTGTGGTCAGTTCCGGGCCCTGTGGTTTAAGAAGGACAGTGATAAGGTAGTGAGAGGAGCCTTAAGTCCATGCCATAGGAGGAGGAAGGTGTAGCCTGAGAAGGGAAGACTTGGGAGGTACCTGATGGCCATTAGCTGGAGGAGGGATTGGGCCCCAAGGGCAGGGCCCACAGCAGGAGGCAGGGCAGTCCAGGCCTGGCACTGAGCTCTGTCTAAGTGGAGTTTGGACTGGAGTTGGGTTAGGCTGTGGTCCACCGCCCCCTTAGAGCTGCTTTGTAGGCTATCAAGTGCTCCAGAAAGAGGATTTCTTCTGTAGTGCCCAGGGTTCCTTTTCCAAGGCCCCAGGGGTTGGGCTGCAGCTCAGGGGGGTCAGCTCTAACTATCTTTCTCATCGCTTTCCTCAACAGGTCTGCCAGTTTCCAAACCCCATGTGATCTCCTGGCTGGAGCAAGGGAACAGAACCTTTGGAGCGGCCACCCAGCAGCCTCCAGGTCCTTCTCCTTCCGTGCTTGGCCCCTCTTTGCCCATTGCGTCCTGGACCTCTGGCCTCCCTCAGGCCCACACCTCTGTCCCTTTCCCTTCAGGATTGGTCCCGTCTTAGATCCCACCCTGGGGAATCTCAAATTCTGAGCTTCCTTCGGAATTACTTCATGTGGGTTCTCCTCTCCAGCTTCTCATTTCTCCTCTGCTCCAGGCCCTTCATCCATGTTTTCCAACCCTGCTTCCCCTCCAAGACTCCTCCCTCTCTGTCCTTCCTGGCTATGACCCTCAAGTAGAGACCTACCTTCTCCTTGACTGAAGAAGCTGTGGTGTGGCTTTCCTCCCTTTCACTGCATCCCAGGAGCCAATCCCAGGCTCCATCGGAAGAGGGGGCAGTGGGAGAGTGGCTCCCACGTGCAGGGAGATATCCAGAGGCTGTCCTGGCCAGATTCTGCTGAGGGACACTGCGATGAAGGGGGGACCAGATGGGAAACGGGGGCTGCAGACTGGGCTGGGAGGTTGAGGTGCCCCAGCAGCTGGAGGGAAGTGTGGGCCACTGGGAGGATTACTGTGCTTGGGTTGGACTCGCTGCATTTGAGACACCTCGGGGATAAGAGCTGGGCAGCTGTGTGTTTCCCTGCTGCTCAGTACCTGTTGTCCATCCACCCCTGACCAGGGGTCCTGTTCCTCCTCGGGCCTCATCTTTCCTCCAGGATCACCTACCCGAAGAGCTGACGGCATCTGGGATGTCATCAGTTCGTGTGACTTAGCCTGTGTTCTCCCAAAACTCGCCATGTGGAGTCTGCCCACTGTGCTGGAGGCCTTCCTTGCCCTGCTGTCCACCTGTCATCTTGGCCGTGTGACTGGCCCTTCTTCTTCCTATCAGGCAGTTCTTTGATGCCTTCTTTCACTCCCAACGCACACGTCTTCACTGCTGATGTGGTGATACTCCTTTCTGGGTCTTTGGAGACGTGGCCCAACGGGTAAGATGAGCCTTTGTTTTCAAGGGAAGTTGGGGCTGATCAATTCCTGAAATCTCTCCAGCCTCTTCTCCTCCTTTACATCTCTGGGCCCAGCTCCTGGTTCATTTGTCCTATGTGGTCCAGACATGCATACGTTCCGATGCATTACCCATGTGGTCTTTCCTGTGCTGATGAACGGTCCGTATTCCTTTGGGCTACCCCAGGTCTCTTCTTGGGGATGCTAGAGAATTGTGGGGCTTGAAGCGGCCCCACACAGGAGCCTCTGTTCTGCATCTCCTCCATTGAAAGGGCCAGCATACAGCTGCCAGGCCTGTGTCTCACCTCATGTTGATTATCAGAGGGCCATTGAGCAGGATTATTCTGCTGTTGGGGCTTCCAGGAATCTTGGACAAGATGTTTCTACTAATGCTTCCTTGAGAATGCCCTCCATCTATGCCTAGATGACTCCTCAGGAATCCTGGGGCTTGGTGGTCACTTCTCTCCCCCGACCACATCCGGGGCCGTGACTGGGGGCTTTTAATATACTTGGTGCTTTCCCCATCCTCACTGGAGAAGAGTTCCATTTTTCTCCTGTTGACAGTTCTTCCATTTTCATCCTTCTCTTCTTTAAAGGCACTTACTATCCACCATTTCTCTCTGCTTCATAAGATGGTGGTCATCGTGATTGTCCATGACCTTCTTTGTAAGATTTTACGAACAATTCTCTCTCTGAAGTAAATCAGATGTTCACTGAGTAAGGTGCTTTCTGGACTATTTTGATTTCCTTGCGGCTATTAATTTATATAGTTAAATCTGTAGTTTAAATATAGCTAGGGTCAACGCCATTTATTTCCAAGTAACACATATTTTTAAATTAATCTGTCCCTCCTCCTACCCTTAGCAAATTTAAAAAATGAAACAAAACCTGAAAAACAAATCCTTCAGTACATATGTACGTAGTTTGGCTGCATCTGAACATGGATGTCTCTTTTGTATTCTGAGTTCATCCTCTCTCAGGAGGTGAGTAGCATGTTTCCTCTTCATTCTTTGGACTCAGGTTTTATCACTTCATTGGTTAAGGCTGTAAGGGCTTTCAGAGTTGTTCTTGTGTATAAGTAGTTCTCCTGATTCTAAGTCAGTTCATAGAAGTCTTCCATTTTCTCATTTCTTATGACACAATAATAATGTATTATATTCGCATGCCACCATTTGTTTCATTGTTTCCCAGCAGGAGAAGAGCCCCTTCGCTTCCAAATCTTGACCCCACAGAAAAGGTTGCTATCGATATTTTTGTACATTTGGGTCTTTTTCCACTTTCTTTGATTGCATTGGCATGTAGGCCTGGTCACAGCATTGCTGGGTCAGAGGGCACACAGCTGATGTCCTTTCTCTTGCTCATATCCTGTTTTTAAGTTTAAATTCTGGGTTAAATTGTGCCATTTGTACACTACCACTTTTTATTCCTTTTTTCATTCCTTCTGATTTCAGCTCAGATGAATCAATGGCTTGATGCTCTAGATTCAGCGATCGCTTCAACATCAGTCACAAGTCTGCGGCCCCTTGCACTCATTTCACTCTTTGTCATGTTATTTGGTGTTCCTTGTGTCCAGCACTTAGCAGTGTTCTGGGGGTGCTTAGACGAGGGAGTGTGACACAATGGCCTTGGAGTCAGAAGACCGGGCTTCAGCCCTACTTCAGACACTAGCTGGGTGGCCTCAGGCAGATCAGTGCCCCTCTCTGCGCTTCTGTCAAATAAGGGTGTGGGCCCGAGGGCCTCGGACAGCCCTCCCCCCTCTCACTGGAATGGGGCACGAGGCTCCAGTGTCATCCACAGGTCTGGGGGATGCCCATCTTTCTTCTGAGCCCCTTCCCGTGCCTTTCTCCCCATCCTCACTTTCTCCATCTTTGTGTTGAAGGCACATGTTCTTAGTGTGTGCTGACTTGATTTGTCAAGTCTTCATTAGGTCATTTGTAGATTTTGTAAGCCCTCAGGAGCCACGATTGGATTACTGTGTGAGCAGCCATTATTATCATGGCGGTCTTGAGCAAGCACTTATCTTCAGTACTGCAATACTCAATGACCCAGGACCCCATGCAGTTGCTTCTTGTGGCCCCTGGGCATATAATGCAAGCACCCTACCAACTCTGGTCTTTTCTCCTCGTGGGAGCCATCCTACTGGTTAGCAGCTTCATGTAGAGCAACAGTGTCATTATGGGTGTGGTTTGGCTTCTCCAGCAGCGTTTCCACATATAGGCCCTCAGATGAGGATCTCATGTTCAAGTTTGACGATGGTCTAGAAATCAGGAGATTCTACCCTATTTCCTGCCCCTCTGCCACCATCCCTACAGAAGGAAAGGACACTGTGCCTTGGAGAGCCCACGTGGCTTCCACACCATAATGACGCCCATGTTGGAGGAGGACTTGGTGGAGTGACTCTTAGAGTCTTTGGCTTCCCTCACCAAGATCGGCCGATTCTGAGCTTGAGCACTCTTGCCTCTAGCTCGCTGGATGTCACCATGTCTCTGTGTCTGTAATGAACTCCCTCTTCACCAAAACCAGTCACTCAGCCAAACAGATTTGACTTGTTTAAATAAGGGGAAATAGAATCAGAGAGCACTGAACAGTCTTCTTTTTACATATGGCATAGCTATGCACTTTGATAGGCTTCTGGATATGTGTGGGTATGGGTGTGTGTGTGTGTGTGTGTGTGTATGTGTGTGTGTGAGTGTGTGTAGGGCAAGAACATCTTTGAACACAGTGCAGTTCCTTTATTTACATTCCCTGTTTCACCAGTGTATGTGTGAGTGTGTGTGTGGGTGGGTGTGAGTGTATGTGTATGTGTGTATGAGTGTGTGGGTATGTATGAGTGTGTGTGTGTGTGTGTGTGTGTGTGTGTGTGTGTGTGTGTGTGTGTGTGTGTGTAGGGCAAGGATATCTTTGAACACAGTGCAGTTCCTTTATTTCCATCCCCTGTTTCACCAGTGTATGTGGGTGGGTGTGAGTATATGTGAATGTGTGTATGAGTGTGTGTGTATGTGTGTGTGTGTGTGTAAGTGTGTGTAGGGCAAGGACATCTTTGAACACAGTGCAGTTCCTTTATTTCCATTCCCTGTTTCACCAGTGGCTGTGTGGTTGTCATATTGATTCAGATTATCAAAGTGTCACCAGGAAGGAGTTGGTCTTATTCCACTTCAGGGCCTTGAATCCATATCCTCTGAGAAGTGACTGACAGCCCTGAGCCAGGGATGTTCCGCCAGGGGAAGAGAAGGTTTAGGGGTGACATGATAAGGGGCTATCACTGGAAAGCGGAATTAGGCCTGTTCTGTTTAATCCCAGAGCAAAGAACTAGGAACAGAGTGAGTGGAAGCCTCTAAGGGGCATTCAGATGTGATGTCTAACATCAAAGTTGTGCTGGCTTGGGAGGGGCTAGGTTCTGAACCCAGTATGTTTCAGTATGTTAGAGTGAGGAGTCTCTCCCGGTAGAAGCTGAGGTCTCTCTTCCTCTAAATCCTAGAATTTAACAGATGAGAGTTTGGTCTGAGATTCCAGAGCTCAGAGGTGACGGAGCTAGGACTTGAATATAGGTCTTCTGACCCAAACCTAAGCCTCCTTCTGCTACATGGTATTTTCTTTCCATAGTGATGTGTGGCTTACGGGCATGAAATGATGAGGTCCTGACCCCCTAGCTCTATAATGTCCTTGTACTTCCTCTCCTGTTCTCCTTAAATTACTGAGGTAGCTTTTAGCCTTTTGAGCCTAGAGACCCAGTCCTACCATAGCTTATCTCCAAATCTCCACATTCTGCTTCTCCCAGCAGGGTCCTCCAACCCTCTGTAGTTACCTAGCATGTGAATTGCCTCCCACCCTCCTCCTGTTTTTGGCTTCTTCATTGATTTCTTGCTGATTCCCTTTCTCACCTCATGATGCAAAGACGTGTCTAATGGTGTTCACCACTGAATGCTGCTCGCCTTTGGGCGTCATTTCTAGTTGCATTGCCACATTTTCACTATAGCAGTTTCCTTTCTATAGTCGCAGGGAAAGGTGGATATTGACAAGTTATTTTAATTTCTTTCAGACTCAGATTCAAGGACAGAGATAAAGCAAGCCATTGCAGAGAATGAACTATCCCAGGACCTGATATTAGAAAGACTCAGAAGGGTTAATCTTTGCAGTTCTATGTGGGGAGATGACAGAGGATGGGAGAACCCGTTAAAGAAGCAAGGAAGCCAGGAGAGACTTGTGAGGCCCGTGCCTGTGCATCAGAAGGTTTATCTTAGGGGGAAACATGAATGTTATGAATGTGGGAAAGGCTTCAGTAACCACAGAAATCTTATTGTTGTTCAGAGCATTCATATCGGAGAGAAAATGTATAAATGTAAGTCATGTATGAAAGCCTTGCCACAGAGTTCTCATCTTACACAGAATCAGAGAATCAGTACTGGAGAGAAATCTTCTAAGTGCAATGAATGTGGGAAAGGTTTAGTCATCATTCACACTTTATATAACATCAGAGGATTCACACAGGGGAGAAGCCTTATCAATGCAATGAGTGTGGGAAAGCCTTCAGTCAGTGTTCACACCTCATTAAACACCAGGGGATTCATACCAGAGAGATGTAATGAATGTGGAAAAGCCTTTAGCAACCTCTCACAACTTACTAAGCATCAGAGGATGCATACTGGAGAAATGCCTTATCATTGTAATAAATGTGGAAAGACATTCAGTTGATGCCCAGATTTTCTTAAACATCAGAAAATTCATACTGGGGAGAAGCCTTATAAATGTAATGAATGTGGAAAAGCCTTTAGTCATTATTCACATCTTATTGTTCATGAAAGGATTCATACAGGGGAAAAACCTTCGCTCAATTCTCAAACCTTATTCAACATCAGAAGATTCATACTGGAGAGAAGCCTTTTAAGTGTGATGAATGTGGGAAAGCTTTTAGTTGACACTCACACCTTACTCAGCATCAGAGAATTCATACTGGAGAGGAGCCTTATCAATGTAAAGAATGTGGTAAGGCCTTCAGTAACCACTCACACCTTATTCAACACCAGAGAGTTCATACTGGAGAAAAATCTTATAAATGTAATGAGTGTGGAAAGGCCTTCAGTCATTGCTCACACCTTATTGTACATGGAAGGATTCATACTGGAAAGAAGTCTTATCAATGCAATGAATGTGGCTAGCCTACAGTCAGTGTTCAAACCTTATTAAACACCAGAGGATTCACACTAGAGAGAAACCTCATAAATATAATGAGTGTGGGAAAGCCTTCAGTCACCATCCATATCTTATTAAACCTCAGAGCACACACCTCAGTCGTACTAGAGGATTCATACTAGGTTGAAAACCTAGCTATTTCCAATTTAATTGGGCTGTGTTTCTGAAGTCCTAATCTGAGGCCTCATTGTGCTGTGGAAGTGACCACAGGTTCCTGGTTTCTATGGCCTAAGAGTGCAGGTTTGGGAAGGTTCTACCATGCTGCAAAGACTTTGAATGTGGCCCGAGTAACAGACTGTGTCTGCTTTGCGATAACCAGCCTAAGCAGCCAGGGGCATGTCACCATTAAGCTGGCCACTTGGTGATAATTTCTTTGGCCACGGCAACCTAATAAAGCAGAATATAAACTGGCCTCTAGGCCTGTATGGCTTTAGATTTTGAGATAGTGGTGACTGTCAAAAAGGGGGATTGAGGGTCCTAACTACCAGAGTTTTGAGGCTGTCTTTAAGTTTTCATTTGGCTCTAGTATGAGATCTTTTTCTAGTGACCAAAAAGTGGACACACCAGTGGAAGAATTTAATGGTGTTAGTTTGGACATTCTTACTACAGGTATGAAACCAAAAGACAAAAGGAAGGTGCAGCTAAGTGGAAGGATGGCTCACAGGTTCTGTTTAGAGAGGTAAATGTAGAATTTAGCAAAATTGGATTTTTTCCATGTATCTGAAGGCACTAAGAAATATCATTTCATGAGATAGTTGGATTTTTCCTATTTCTGTGCTAATGATAAGTATTTTCAAAAAAGACCGTCATGAAATTGATTTCAACTTAGGTACCGATATCAATCACAGAGGATTTTTTTTTGAGGGGAAGGGCTACGCAATGGGGTCAAGTGACTTGCCCAGGGTCACACAGCTAGTAAGTTTCAAGTGTCTGAGGCCAGATTTGAACTCGGGTCCTCCTGACTCTAGGGCCAGCTAGCTGCCCGTGATTGCAGAGGATGAAGAGGCAGAAAAATTCTACAAGACCTCAATAAGATCCTCCAAATTAAGTCAGCGTGTATTTTAGATACCCAGTGCCATGAGCACAAACGTGGGGATAGGCAAGGATGAAGAAAAATGTTGGGAAGTATGGTTCAGGGATTAAGAATGAGTGCAGACTACACAGAATTCTCAGGCCTATCCATCAGAAATATCAAAGTCAAAAAGACTCATGGGCTTAATCATTCCTGAAAAATGGCGACCAAGACAGCATCAATTATGACTGTCCCATTATACCTGTTTTCCTATTATATAAAAAACTTATAAGAATAATTCATGTACTCAGTAAGGCTCTTCTTTGCTTGAGTATCAGAAGGGAGAAGGTGTCATAAGTCACACTCCACAATAGACCCCATTTTTGCCATCATGCCTCTGACTAAAAGATTAGCGAATACAAGATTCTCCACACTTATTTTTGATGACTAGAGAGAATCATTTGGTTGAGAGAGCAAAATACTGCCTTAAAGACTTTTCTCCAATTCATCTTTGAGGTATGTCTCAAAATCATATAAATTCTCTTAAAAGATGAAATAGTAGAGATGACCCTGTAACCGTCAATATCAAACAGGAGAGATATATGTTGAGGGCCGATCTTAAGAGTCTGATAAGGATTTAAGATCCAAGGCAGAGTTTGACCTCTGCTCAGGCTTTCACCCCAAAGGGCTCAAGGATTAAGTGGTACGGCTCCCCAAATTCCTTCCTGATAAAGAGGTCTCTGAGATATCCCTTCTCTCTCTTTGAACCTTAGGTTTACATATTTACTCCTCTATGCAGGTGGCGCCTAGGCGCCTGGGAAAACCTTGGAATCTACAGCCCAATCTAGGAACCCTGATAAGGAGGAAATTCATGATTGTTACATCCTCAGCAGATGTTCTGGGGAGTATCTCACGGGGAGGACTCTTTGAAGTTAGGCTAGATTTTCCCTATATATTCTGTGCCCTCAGATGAATAAACTGAGTCAGTAATTCTACTCTGCCTGGCCCATGTCATAAGTTATTTCACGCCTCTCCGTTCGGTGTACAGTCTGGTTGCGGGCAACAGATATAAGCCCAGCAGAGCTGTGGTCATTGCATCCTCCCCACCCCTTAGGAAAACTATTGGAGAAAGGAACTGAGTGTGGCTTGTGATCCGTATCCTTTGAGGGAATACTGACATCAGTGAGGTGATATCCATTGGTAGAGTTTCTTCCTTTGCATTAAATGGATTTCCACTAAGCAACATGATGACGTGTTTTGCTTAATTCCATTCATTTAATGCAGAAATTCAGACCATTTATGTTTATTGTTATGACGTTTGCCTTCTGTCATGCTTCCTGGGAAGGGTGAAATCTTCATTTTTATTGATTCCAACTATCAATTCTAGTTAATAAAACAAATTGTTTTGGTTTTTTTAGGCAGTTCTTATACTTTCCTAATGTTAATCCCCACCCCCTTTTATATATATATATATATATATATAGTAGTTACATTGCTTTAGTATCACCAGTTTTGCCCAGTCACTAAGGAATGGCATGGTTCTCCAGCTCCATTTGTGTTCTGGTCACCCTTAGCTAAACATCTGTCAGCTTGTTCATGGCCCTTCAATGATGACCTGCCCCTTCTCTTCCTGATTCTAAAGTTCTTGCTTGCTGGATCCATCCCTGCTACCTACAAACACATCAAGATCTCTCTCATTTCTTGACCTGATCATCCTTTTAAGCCGTTGCCCTATATCTCTTCTGCCAAACTCAAAAACTCCTTGAAAAAGATCTCTACATATATTCACTTGGCAAGTGCTTACTAATTATGTGTCCTAAGCATCCAGGACACATAGACAAAAATAGGCACCCCAGCCTTCACAAAGCTTACCCCTTACTGGGGAGGAAGTCAGTGTCCAGTGGGAGGATTAGAGATGGCCTCACGTGAGAAGTGCTTATGCTGAGCTTTAAAGGAAATAAGGGATTCTGAGGATTGTGAGGAAGAGCATTCCTGGAAGGTGGGAGACAGAAATGTTGTGTGAGAGCCAGCGAGCAGGCTGATTCATGTATGAGTAATGTGTAAAAGGTGGCCCAGGATTGGCTGGGTTTAAATTGTGCAAAGCCTCAAAGGCTGAGCGGAGGAATCCACTTTTTATCCTGGGCACAAGAGGGGGCCGTGGCGGCTCCTTCAGCAAAGCAGTGTGGTCAGACGAGCGCTTGTGCCCGAGCATTTTGGCAGCTCTGTGGAAGAGGGTTTGGGTGAGGTGGGGAGCCTGTGGCCTTGAGCCCTGTGGCCTGCTAGGTCCTCGGGTACAGCCCTTTGACCAAGTCCCATTAAGGGGATGTGTTCTGCGCAGTTTGGCCACGTGCGGCTTCAAGGCCTGGGGTCCCCACCCCGGCTGACATTCTTCAGTTCTTAGTCTGGCAGCCATCTCCGCTACTGAGACTGCTCTTCTCAGGAGCACAAGTTATCTAAGTTATCTCTTGATTGCATGAATACGGCACTGTGCCTGAAGTCAGGAAGACCAGAGTTCAAATGTACCTGAGACACTAGCTGTGTGACCTTGGGCAAGCCACCTAACTTCTGCCTGCCTGTGTTTGCCCAGCTGTAAAATTGCGATGATAATAGCACCTGCCTCAGACAGTTGCTGTGGGTATTAAATGATATTTGTAGACCATTCACCACAGTGCCTGGCACAGAGTAGGCCCTTAAGAGTTATCTCCTTCCTTCCTGGTGCCACCCCCTTATCCTGCCCTCGGGGTTCTGTTCCGGTCCTCTTCTCACTTCTCAGCAGCTCCTGGGGTTCAAGCATCATCTCTAAGCAGGTGCCACCCAAATCTAGCTACAAATGTCCTACTCTTCATGACCCCATTTGGGGTTTTCTTGGCAAAGATACTGGTTTCTCCAGCTCATTTTACAGATGAGGAAACTAAGGCAAATAGAATTAAGTGATAAGAGAAAGCAATATACTGTTCTATTAATAACTAATTATTAATTTGCGATCCACCCTCTCCCTACTATTTCTGTTAAGACCCAGCTCCTGAAAAGGTCAGTCAGTCTCTGAAGGGCAAGACTGAGGGATGACATTACACCTGGCCCCTATGGCACGTGCTCATTAACTAGATGGGGCTGGACCCCACCAAACTGGGAGACCTAATCTGTTTAGAGTGAAAACAGAATCCAGTCTGGGCAAACCTTTGCCTGGAGGAGGAACCCTCTGTCCTTGATCCCCTCCATTATAGTTTAGGGTAATCCAAATGATGAAGGAGAAAACTAGCCAGAGAGGTCTGGATGGACGCGGCTTCCCTGACCACATGCCTGGAGCCTGCGGAGTCTCAGGTCAAAGCATATTCTCAGCAGGAAAAGCTGAAGATGTTTAGCCCACCTCCTCATTAAATGTCTGCCAATCAGGATTGAGTTTCACTTTTGAGGGGAATTAGTTCCCTAACAGAAGGTACACACCCAATGTAAGGTATTTCAGTCTCCCTTGGCATCTTTGGTTACTGAAACCACTGACCCTCCGTTTGTTGGTTATTAGCCTAGTTAGTTAGCCTGTGTGTGTATGTGTTGTTTCCCCTATTAGATTGTGAGCTTCTTGAGGACAGGGACTATTTTTTGCCTTGGAGTCCTTGAATCTTCACCCTCAATGTTGAGTTTCCAGATCTTTTATGTCCCACATTCACATCTCATATTCACCCTTTCCACTTAGATAGACATAACTCTAGAGCAGAGGTGGGGAACCTTTGGCCTTGAGGCCACATGTGGCCCTCTAGGTCCTCAAGAGTGGCCCTTTAACTGAATCTTGAGGCTACAGACTCCCCACCCCATCGAGCAAACCTTCATTGTCACTCTCCTGAAAAATAACCTTGTAACTGGTCTCCCTGCCTCTACTGGGCTCTGCAGTCCATGCACCACAAAGCTGCCAAGCTGCTATTTGTTAAGCACAATGGTGACCACAGCCCGCCTTGCTCACATGTATACTTCCTCTTGCCCTTTTCTAGTTCCTGCCATCCTTGAAACTATCGTCTGAGATGTCTTCTCCCCTTCTCAGCCAAACTCTCATCACCACTTGCTGCTGCTAGCGCTCTTTTCCTCTCACTTGTCAATCGCCTGACCCTCCTCTTTCCAAAGTGACTAGTGATCTCTTAATTGGAAAGCCTTCCAACATTATCTCAAGCCTCACCCTTCTTGTTGCCTCTGCAGGCTTTGAACAGTCGATCACTCTTGCACAAGTAAATTTGTCAGTGAATATACTACCTCAGTTTGCTTGAGCTCCCCGATTATCCAGGTCACCAAGAAGAGCAGTATGAGAACTGGCCATATTAACTAAGACAGAAATTGACTCGGCATACCAACGATCCTTTGCAGTGACCAAGAATGAATCAACCCAGCTGGACATGCAGAAAATCAGCAACTCTGAAGCCAACTAAGCTCACGGCAGCCTTGGAGCAAACCCTGAGCTGTTTGCTGATTTGTAGACTTTTAAAAGTTGTCCTTGTCTTCAGAGACTCCCCTAATTGCTATTTGTAGAAACATCCCATTTTTATGTTTTTTTGGAGCGATTCCCTTATTTTATTGTTTACGCTGAAGCCTTGAACTGTCAGGATTGCTGATCACCAAAAATGTCTTCTAAGTGTCAAAAGGCCATGGCTCTGACACCTGGAATTCCTCACTCCCTCATTTCCTGGATCTCTCCCTCCCCTCTCTGCCCCTTTACTTCTTGGGACCAGCCTAATTCCGGCATTTTCCCCCAATTCCCTGCTTTGTTGAGCTGTAGAACATTAGGCCAACTGCTTCTGTGTGCATGTCTTATTTCCGGGCTTAATAAAGATCTTTAATTTCACAGGCATCATCTTCCTCTGGTTTTCTTCCCTTTAGCGAAAAGGGGGATTTGGATCTTGCAAAACTGACCTTTGTGCCCTCAAGGGGAAAGAGAGATCTAAATTCCTTAGCTTTTTGGGCCACCCTTCTCTCCTGATTTTTCACCTGCCTTCATTCGGGGCCTGCCCACCAACTGTGGGTGTCCCACTGGGTTCTATCCTAGGCCCCTTTCTCTTCTACATTATTTCATTTGTGATCTCATCAGCTCCCGTGGGATTCAATTATCTTCTCTATGTAAATGATTTTCTGGTGTACTGTGGAATTATTGAGATCTGCCCCTGCTGCTGCTCTTTGTCCTTCATTCTCAAGAGGACCGTGGCATCAGAAAGGTGAAGCCCCGACACGTGAGTGAATTGCATTTAAGTGAGGGAGGGCGTTGAGAGCTATAATATCTATGTACATCCGCATGCTATGTGTAACGCGTGTCCTGTTTGAATTGGTTGGAGTTTCCCTACTTTCCAGGGGACCCCGACTCGGAAGCTGACGTGATCAGCCAGACTCCCTGACATGCTAACAGTGCCCCTTGCTGGTCACCACGGAGTGAACCGAATTGGATGTCTAAGCGCTGCCCCGGCCATGCCGACTCTGGTTTTGTCCCCCGATGAGCAGCCATGAGGCTCAGCAACCTCAGGACTTGGAGACTGTCACACCAGACCCAAGAGGACCTTCCCAACAGAGGTCCAGCCATCTGGGGTTTTCAGCCTAAAAACCCAGCCCTGCCACAAGCCAGTGAGCCCCTCGCTAGGAAGCGGGACTCTGCTTGGAAGCTGCCTGCCTCCAGCCTGCTCGGCTTGGCCGGCCATCCACGGGTCAGAGGCCGCTTTGGTCTGGTGGACAATAACCTCTCTGCTGAGCCTCAGACGTGCAGACTGGTTCAAGTATTAAAGGGGATGGAAAAGGGTTGAAAGCTGGGCAATTTAAAAAGTATGAGGAAGCTAAGGCATGCAGTCGAACCTATGTAGACAGGCAGGAGCCTGGGCAAAGGCGCGGAGGTGGGAAACAAGCAGGCCAGAGGGCAAGGCGGTTGACCCTCCCCTTCTCCAAGGGCCCTTCTCCCATCCCTGAAAGCGCCTGCAGGCCCCTGGAGGGCTGTGTTCCCATTTTCTGGGTGCGATATCTCGTTCACAGTAGGCGCTAAATAAATGCCTGGCAATCCATTGACTAAGTTGTGTCACCAGAGTACCTCCAAGCATTTCCTCCCGGTTCTGAAATCTCCAAGCTCTCCTCTCAGGGCACTCCCTCCACCTGTGTAACCCCATAGGATTGGACGCAGGACTTGTAAGCACGTGCCCAGTTCCGCCAATCCTGGATCACGGTCTTGGGAAGGCGGGGTCGGAATCCCTCAAACGGTCACCGTACAGACCTAAGGTCCTCCCAAGAATGAAGGCGAGGGGCGGGAACGATGGCCACTGATTGGCTGAGGACTGGCTGGAGACGCCCCCTGTGGACATGCGCAATGGAGCCTGAAGGTAGCCCTCTCAGCGTTCTCTGTTGGAAGCGGAGGGGTGGATGTCTGAAGATGCGCTTTCCGAGGCATTGTGGGATGTGTAGTCCGGCAATGGAAGGTGCGCAGGCGCACTGAACGCTCCGAGGTTGGACATGCGCACGCTGCCGCATCCACCATTGCAGGCTGAGTTCGCCTGCTCGGCGGTGGTGTTTCCGCGGCTTCTTCCCCGCGCCCCTGGGGAGCGTCATCGAGGTCTGTACGTGCGGACCCCCAGCGTCCGAGTATCCCGACTCCTCCCGGCGAGTCGTTATGCGCTCCGACATGAGAAGGGGCGGGGTCCCAGGGGGAGGGGAGGGTGGGGGAGGGAAATGTAGATGGGAGGAAGAAGAGGCGGGGCCTGTGACATCATCTGTTGCTGGTTCCTTTGGCCAGGGAAGGGGCGGGGCCTGATATACGTACGCTGTTGCCGAGGGGCGTCCCGAAGAAGGGGCGGGGTCAGATGACGGCCAAGTTGTCAGACTTCCACTGGAGACTTGGCCCCCACCCCCCATGCCAGGTTCTCATTGCACCTGACCGGGAGCGGCCTCGTGCGGGCCTCTCAGACCCCCGGCTCCTCTTCTGCTGAGGCGTCCTGATGGTGGGAGGCCTCGGGGGCTGGGGTTGGACGGGGCCTCCCATGGACAGGTGGGGAAACTGAGGCCCAGGGAAGTCCAGGATCTGGCCAGGGTCACACACCAGAAAGTGATCCCACTTACTGCTCCTTCCCCCATCAGAGTTGGATAGGGCCTCCCATGGAAAGGTGGGGAAACTGAGGCGCAGGGAAGCCCAGAGACCACTCCAGGAAGTGATCCCAACCCTGTGACTCTCAGACCCCAGCAGGGCTCCCTAAGGACACCAGGTGGGGCCAGCAGCCCCTCCCCCCTTCCCTGGGCCCAGTGGGGATCATGGGTAGATTTTTTTCTAGCCCCATTTTCTGGGGGCCTGGGTGGGCTCCCTTGGCCACTGTGGGGTGGGGGATTCCCATGAAATAGTCGTGGGGGAGGGGCTCTTTGGGGCCGCTGGGCTGCTCCCTCCTGCTGACATCCCCCTCCTGCCCACAGCAGCCACCCTGGAAGGGATGGTCCCTGAGGCCAGAGGGCCCTGGCGGAGGACTCGGACCCTGGGACTGCAGGGGGGATTGGCTGGCCCCAGTGAACCCCCACTGAGGACAGCTTAGCCCTGGTGGCCCAGATGCTCAAGGAGGGAGGTGAGAAGGGGATTTGGAGGCAGGGGCCCTGGATTCAAGTCCCAGCTCTGCCACCTTAGACATCGAGCCTCAGTTTCCCCTGCTGTAAGAGGAGGGAGGGCCTTTGATCCCACAGAATCTATCAGGGTGGGAAGGGAGGGGGCTGGAGAGAAGCCAGCTGAGGGGCAGAGGAGGAGCAGGGGCTCCCCTGGCTCTGGTGCCCTGACCCTCCCCTTCCTGACCCCCACCCCATCTGGGGCCCCATGGAGTCATAGGAAGGGCCAGGCCTCGGTCTCAGTCACGGGCCTACGACCCCCCCTGATTCTGTGACCTGGCCTGTCATTTGCTCCCTGTGAACCTCAGTTTCCCCACCTGTAAAATGGCCATTTTGTTGGCGTGCTGGCCGTAGCCTCCTGCTCAGCCCTCTCTCTGCCCATCCTGGGACGTCTTGTCCACATCTGTTGCCCTCCCTGCTCCCCCCTCCCAGAGGGGTCTGGGATTGCTCTCCCTCATGGCCCCTTTGTCCTCCCCAGCTCTGCCCTCCGAGGGTGCAGTCTGCACCCAGACCCCAGGGGACGAGGTAGATGAAGGCATGGCCCCCACTGGGCCCCCAGTGGACACTTCCAAGGTGAGCTGGGGTTTCCTTCCTGAAACATCGCCAGGAACCAGGGCCCCTCCTCGTTCCCACAGCCCCCACCCCCACCCCCACCCCCCTGCCCTCTCTCTTACTGCTCATAGTTGGAGGGAGGGGCCTGTGTGTGAGGCCCTGTGGCTGTCCAGGTGTTCAGCAGCCAGGGAAGGCTCCCCGGAGGAGGTGTATGATGGATGGGCAGGGTTTGGAGCTTTTCAGGGGCCTGGGGGGAGCACTCCTGGCAGGGAGAACTGCATAGCAAAGGCTCCAAGGCGGTCATTTACACATCTTCTGTAGGATCAGGCACAAGGGGGGAGCCTGCCCTGCTCATGCACTGGCCTTGGTGTTGTGGCCTCCTTAAACCTCACCTTCCCACTGCTCCTCCCTCCCTGAGACCTGACTTCCCGAAGTGGCTACCCGATCTCCCTGGCTGCCCCTTCCCTCCCTGCTCCCCGGACTCACTTTGGGCTTCTTCCCTTCCTCACCACTCAGTGACCTCGCCTCCTCCAAGGTCCGTGCTGGTCACACCTACACTCAGTCAGAGGCCAGGGTCACATGGGGATGCACCCCTTCCTCCCTCCAGGAGCTTGGTACCAGCTCACAGACTTCACCCCCAGCTCCTGCCCTCCTCCCCGGGGACTTCCACATAGACACTGACTCTCCCTCAGACTCCCAAACCTCTCAACTCCCCACCCTGCTCACCTCCACTCCCCATCTGGACCCCTTGGGAAACCAGATCAGTTTTACACTGTCCTCCTCTCGTGAATCTTTCAATCTCTTGTTGTATCCCCCCATGCCCCCCAAGCCTCAGCCTTGACTTACTCCCATCATTCACCTCCTTCACACATACACTCATGATGGTGAATGAAGGTGGAAAAAAACCAGCTCTGACCCCTCCCCCCCCACTGAGCCCTCACTGCTCCCTCCCTCATCATCGCCCTCTCCCAAACCTTCTCAAGCCTCCTCAAACCTCCCATAGCTTTTCCTCCCCCTACTCTCACAGCTCAGACCCTGCCTCCTATTGTACAGAAAGAATCGAGGACATTCACTGTGAGCTCCTTTTCCTCCCCTCTTCCTCCCCTCCCATCACACAGGTGCCTTCTTCCCCTCTCCTCCCATGATGAGGTAGGGCTGACCCCTCCACCTGCTCAAGTGACCCCCTTCCATCCCATCTCCTTCAACAGATCGCCCCTTCTGTCGCCCCCCCCCATTTATCTCTAATCTCTCCCTTTCTCCTGGCCCACAGATGTGCCCGTGTCTCCTCCATCCTGCAGAAACCTTCTCTTGTTCCTCCTGTCCCCACTAACTGTCTTCCTGTGTCTCTTCTGCCCTTTGTGCTAAACTCCTTGGGAAGGCTGTCTGTCTACAGCTGAGGACTTCATCCTCTCTTTTCCCTTTTCTTCCTCTCTGCAGTCAGGTCACTTAAATGACTGCTCCTGCCAGTGCTCACGTACAGGACAGGGAGGAAGGGAGCGTGTGGCAGGTTCATCCCCCCAAGGCCCAATGGGAGGGGAGGGGAGCCCAGCAAGGGCCAGCGACCGGCCTGGGCTCACACAGCCAGGAGGGGCGGCGTCCTGGGTCCTGCCAGTCCAACTCAGAACAGAGGCCAGGAGCATGGGGGCCTTGAAGGAAACTGAGGCACACAGAGGGCCAGGATTGCCCCCAGGCCACACAGGTGGTAACGAGCAGAGCCCACGTGAATAACAGGGTCTCATGGCTGAAGCCCAGTGCTAGGCCCGCGGAGCCACGTGGCCTCCACGGTCTGGGTATCCGGCCTGGTCTGGTCTTTGCCACAGCTGAGTCTCCCCTTGCACAAGATGACCATCAGCCCCTCAAGGCAGAGACTGTTGTGTGTCCTGCATCTGGACCCCAGGTCCCCTGGGGGCCTCCGTTCTTCTGTTCTGGGGCCAGCAGGCGTGTGCTTTGTGTTTCAGGAGCCCGTGACCTTCAGGGATGTGGCTGTGGACTTCACTCCTGAGGAGTGGGGGCAGCTGGGCCCATCTCAGAGGCAGCTGTACTGGGACGTGATGCTGGAGACCTACTGGAACCTGGTCTCCCTGGGTAAGGTCGCTTCCCCTGCATTCCCCCTCCCCCCACCCCCTGCCAATTCAGTGTCTGCCGGGGGGGGGGTGCAGAGAGAAGGAGACAGGGTTGGGGTCTCTGGGAGCTGACAGGTCAGAGCCATAGGGGAGGTCAGTCAAGCCCCCTGGGCTCCCGACAGCCTTCATTGGGTTCATTCCCTTCTCTGGGTCTTAGTTTCTTCATCCATAGAATGGGGAGCTTGAATGAGGCTCAGAACCCATGACCTGTAAGAGGGGTCTGTCCCCACGGCTGTCCAGGGGCTGGGCCTGAGCGTGGGGCAGCTCTCGGTCTCTGGAACGCATTGCAGCTTCTCTCTCTCCCTGTGAATAGGGCTTTCTATTCCCAAACCGACTGCCATCTCCCACCTAGAGCCAGAAGAGCCAAGGACGGCGGAGGGAGAGACCCCAAGTGGCCCCCATCCAGGTGCGTGGGTAGGGAGGGAGGTCTCGGGGTGGCCCTGGCTCTCACTCCTCTGGCCCCTCTGTGGCCCACCCCTGATCTGAGTCACCCACAGCCTCTGGCCCAGCCACCTCTCCTAGGCTGCCTCCTGGGTGAGAAGACCCGAGTTCAAGGCCAGATCTCTGAGAACCAGAGCCCCTTCAGTACACGATGTTCATTTGGCCTCAGAGACCCACAGGTCCAATTCTCATCGGACAGATGAGAAGCCTGGAGCCAGGGAAAGGGGAAGGGGATTGGCCGCCCCCCCCCACCCCACCTTTGCCCAGGCAGGGCTGGGATGCCAAGCTTTCTCTGCAGGGATCCTGCCTTTCCTTGAAACCTGTGTGGCTTCTGTTTTCTGGCTGGTGTTGGGCCCCTTGGGGCTCCCCCTTTGCTTGGGTGTCAGCTCCCCAGCAGTCATCTTTATTTTCTAGGCCGCTCAGAAGCCGTGTGTTCTGCCCCTTCCTCCCCTTTGCAGATGAGGCACACACTCACACAGCAGGTGTGAGAGGCCATGAGGAGGCGCTCGGCTTTCTGTCTGGTTTTCCCCTCCTGCTTTGGGATTGGCCTGGCTGTAACCATCTGCTTTCTCTGTGCAGGGGGGCAGCTTCAGAGGGCAGCACAGACCCAGGTAATGGCAGGTGTTCTGCGGCTCTCCTGGTGCCTGTCCAGCTGTTCTTTTCAATCTAAGCTACTCGGGGAGTTCCTCAGGCTGTCCCCCTCTCCCCCTGGGCAGCTCCCCTTTCTCTCCTTTCTTTGACGGCCTGTAGCCTTTGCATCCTGGGGGGCTTCTTCTGTTTTCTCCCTCTTGGCATGTCATGTGATGCGCAGGAATCTCGTCACTTCCCTCTGGGACTCCCATCATTCCCCTTTCCCTGTAACAGTCTCCCAAAATGCTGAAGCTGGGAGACATCTGGGAGGGAATCTGAGCAGGACAAGGCCCAGTCAGAGAAGCCGATGTCCTGGATTCACGCTTCGATGAGAAGTGGGATCATCAAGTCCCGTCTGGGCTTTGTGCTGACCGAGGGGGACTTCTCAGAGGCTGCAGGGTGGGAGCCTCGTTAGGTGCCTGCTGCAGTAATCTGGGCGGGGGGGGGTCCCTACAAGAATCTGGATCCCTCTTCTCCTCCTCCCCCCTCCAGTGGATCTGGGGCCGGAGGGCCTCCATTTGAATCCCTTCTGTACCTTGTGTGTTACCTTGGGCAATCTCCTCTCTGAGCCTCATCTGTGTCAGCTATGAGTTGAGGGGCTTGTATCCAAGGTGATTCAGAGGCTCCTTCCAGCCTTAGGTCCTTTTACCTCATCCTGATTCTTCCTCACTTGTGTTCACTCTCTGAGGCTGGAAAGATGCATCACCCCTTTTGTATCCCACTTTTTTCATACTTCCCAAGTTCCTATTGGCTAGTTTTCAGAGTCGTATTCAGCCAGCATTGATTAAACAGACAGACAGTCCTTGCCCACAGGGGTCCTGGGTTCTAGGGTGATCGCATCTGGACACAGATGGTCATTCCTTGTAGATGTGGCGACCAGCTCCTACCTCTGATCCTCATTGCTGTAGTCCAGTGGGCAATCATTTATTTTTATTAAGGGCCTGCTATGTGCTAGGCACTTGGGATACTAAGGCAAAAATGAATCTAACTCTGCTTTCAGGATGCTTACATTCTATCAGAAAACAGGGATGTTTCTCTATACGAAGCATGATAACCTTGGGTGGGAGGACCAAGAGTCCTTCTGCGGTCTGCAGGGGCTCCTTGGGCTGAGTCCCGAATGAAGCCAGGGATTCTAAGTTGCTGAGCATTCCAGGCATCAGGAAGATGCAGAGCTGGAGAAAAGATGACCTGTAGTCTGATATGGCCGGGTCATTGATTGGGAAGAGCGAGGTAGACAGAGACCAGAGAAGTCAGAAGACCCTTACATGCTGGATAGTAGAGGTTATATTTGACCCTGGTGCTAGCAGGGAGGAGCGTGACGTGATCAGATCTGGTAATATTAATTTTGTTATAAATTGATTTCAGACTGGAACACTAGACCTGAAACCAGAGAGTCAGCCCCACGTTGGGATATTTCTGAAGGAGGAACATCCCATGGGATGATGATGACAAGATTTGCTCAGGATGGTCCTTGGAACCCCACTCTGGGGAAAGCCTGGATGTGTGGTGGACAGTTAGAAGAGCAGCAGGAGAGACGGTGGAGGCAGAGGATTGTCACCAGTAAGCAAATCCAGTCTGGGGACATAGGCTCTGAATGGGATGAATGTGAGAAGAGCATCAGTCTGAGGCCACTGCTGATTCTACACCAGAATCTCTCCTTGGCTGGAGAGAGGGCCCATAAACACGATGTGAGTGGGAAAAGCTTCAAGCAGCTTTCTCACTTGATCGAACATCAGATCATCTGTGCGGAGAAGAAACCTGACAAGTACAGTGAATGTAGGGAAGACTTTCTGAATGGCTCACTTGGAGTGGACCCTCCCAGAAGCCATCCCAGAGGGAAGCCCTACAAATGTAAAGAATGTGGGAAAGCCTTCAGCCAAAGTGCACTTCTTACGAAACACCTGAGAGTTCACACTGGAGACAAGCCCTATGAATGTAGTGATTGTGGCAAAGCCTTCAACCAGACTTCACACCTGAGGCAGCATCGGAGAATTCATAATGAAGAAAAACCCTTTGAATGCAATGAATGTGGGAAAGCCTTCAGGGTGAGCTCATCCCTTACTGAGCATTGGAGGACTCATACTGGTGAAAAACCCTATCAGTGCAATGAATGTGGGAAAGCTTTTAATCGGAGTACCCACCTTACACAGCACCAGAGGATTCACACTGGAGAGAAGCCCTTTGCATGTAATGAATGTGGGAAGGCCTTTAACCGGAGCACGCTCCTTACTCAGCACCAGAGAATTCACACTGGAAAGAAACCCTATGAATGTGATGAATGTGGGAAGGCCTTCCGAGTGAGCTCATCCCTTACTGAACATCGGAGAATTCACACTGGAGAGAAGCCCTATGAATGTAATGAATGTGGGAAGGCCTTCAACTGTAGTAAACTCCTTACTCAGCATCAAAGGATTCACACTGGAGAGAAGCCCTACGAATGCAGCCAGTGTGGGAAAGCCTTCAACAAGAGCCCAAACCTTACTCGACATCAAAGAATTCACACTGGAGAGAAACCCTACATATGCAGTGACTGTGGTAAGACCTTCAACCAGAGTACCCACCTTATTCAACACCAGAGAATTCACACTGGAGAGATTTTCTGTGATCCCGTAGCCAACACATACCTGTGAAGATTGCTTAGGTACTTGAAGCCGTGGTTGCCTGTGAATTTGCACTGGGGCTGATGCAAAGAGGGGGCCCTCAGTCTACCAGGGTGGTTTGATGGGAAATGTTAGCAGTTGTCTACAAACCTGGTTTTCCCCTTGGGTTTCCCGTCTGGGAAGGGGCCATGCTGCCATACTCCACTGGCAGTGAACCTCTTCATTCCCCAGGCCAACCAGAGAATTCCTTAGACTGTATTGATACCAAGTTTCTTCTCCAGAGTTAGTGGGAGAGCAGAGCAGAGTTTTAGACCAGATGGGAGAAATGGGACAGGTAATGCTACTGACTTGTTCCATGAGCAGGTGAAGTAGCCACAGGGGTCTTTCACCCAGTCTTTATGGACTTGGGTGCCAGGGATCCAGGAATGAGAATTCCCCCAGGTAACAGCATTCTCATTTCTCTGTTTCATTTCCTTTTCTCCTTCCCATTTTGCTCTTTATTCTCTGTCTCTTTTTCTCTAACCTCACATCACTGGGGAGAAAAGTAGTGGGTGGGGGTAGGGGAGAGAGGGGAGCAGGCAGTCAGAGAGCTTGGTCAGGGATGCTCCGCTACGTAGGAGTTCTCCACAGGCCGCTGCTTTGATGGGAAAGTGATTCTCGGCTACCTTTGGTGGTGTTTGTAGATTGTGGTTGGGGGGTGAGGGGGGAAATGAAAGTATGGACCTCCTTTGGTCTCTCTGCTCTGGTTCCCCACCCCCACCCCATTCACAGGCTCACAGCTGACAAAGTCATTTTCCTAAGACAGGTCTCGCACTGTTGCTCCTGTGCTTCAGTCTTCGGGAGCTCCCCATTACCTCCAGAGCAGAAGTATCTGCAACCTTAACTCATGACCTCACCAGGCCTCAGCTTCCTCCATAAAGGGGGGGTGAGAGGGGTTGATAATAAAACTTAGAAGCTGCTGTGGAAGTATGCAGAGTGCAGTGCATTTGGAGTCGGGACCTGGTTTCTTAAATGGCTTCAAAATGTGCTTCATCTTGAGTTGCTGCTTTCAGGCTCCTGTTTCTGCCCTCTGAGCTCCAGGGGAACTCCACAGTCTCTGCACACCATCTTAGTGCCTGGCTGTGGAAGGTCCAGAGGCAGGACAGAGTCAAGATGATGGGTGATGGCCCAAGACGCAGTGGATGACCTCGGGGCCTTTGATGGCTAACCTAGCTCTAAGGCTCCACAGCGTCTGCATCAGCCACCTTCGGGGCAGAAGTTTTCACATGCTTGGGGTGGACACCCTGCTAGCTCACCAATGGGTTTGAGGCCTATCAGTTACCCTCAGCCTGGTTTAGCCTGCCTGCCAAAATGGTTTACTGCTGCACATGCTACAGCTTCTTAGAGCCTCTGGTGAAAGCTGGGTGAATCAGGTACACAGCAAAGGTAGAAAGCAGCCCTGAAAGAGGCTTGGCAGCCCTCCCACCAGAGGTGCTAGTCTTCCCTGAACACCCCCTACCCCTCAGAGGAGGCAAATCGAGAGCCGCTTGGGTCACTGTTCTGAGCCTCCAAAGACTCAGAGGTTGCTCCGCTTGGGGAGAGCACTGTGGAACAAATGCTGCAGCATCCCTAGTTCAGGGGATTATGTGGTCCGTGACCAGTGCCCCAGAGCATCGTGGTCCCCACGTCCAAATGGACAATGGACTCAGTCCTTAGTCTGCTGTTTTCATGAGACCTCCAATCTGGTTATTTAGTTCATGGGTGGGTAATGTCTCTAATGGAACCTAACATCCTCTACAAATGAATGTGGTGGCAGGAATTAGTAGATTTCCTCCAGTGGTTCTGAACCCACAGTAAAGAGCCTTGGTTTTCCATCATTTTTCACTCCAGGCCCCAAGACCACTCAGTAAAACCCATGGTCTCTGCCCAGAAATCAACAGAGAAATTTTGCCTGCCCCATCTCTCCAAGCGTTCTCTGCCAGTCATGCAGCTCTCAGCTCAAAGCCCTGGCAGGTTGTGCCTTGTTCCCATCCCCCTCATTACTGGATTAACGGCTGCTGAGGTCCAGTGGAGGATAGCTCTCATAGTGAGCAAGGTCATCAGTGACCAGCTGAGACATCATTCCTCATCATTCCATCATTCCTTGGTCCTCATCGTGAGGGTACATTGGGTAACAAAGCAGACCAAATGGTGTGGCTGGTACTAAAGTTCTGGCAGCATCACAGCCTGCCTGTGGAGGGCACTCACATGAAGGCAGGGGATTTGGGGTCCACCATTTCCATGATACGATGCAAGTCTAATGCCTCCTTGGCTTGTGAGAGACAATCTTCATCAAGCAGCTCATGAGGGAGCTAGGCTATGACCCTGCCTTCTCCGCTTGGTAGCAACAAGAATCAATAGCAGGGAGCCACTGTTTCCAAAATGCACAGCGACTGGCTGCTTTGAGGAGCCTAGAGACCACTTCTGTCCACTTCTTGGTGCCTGCCCAAGGCCTCATGGAGCCTGGCCCTTGTGGTCATGGGTTCCACAGAATCCTAGAGACCCGAAGGGAGAGCTTGCTGGGCATCTGGCCCGAGAGCCTCCTAGGCAGAGGACCCCACCTCCCACCCCTGGCCTGGTCAATGGCAGACCCCTGAGCTGAGGTCCAAAGGCAGCTGTCAATCCTTGCTCTCGAGCCCGGGCTGGAAGGGGAGGCCGTAAATAAGCCATGGAAGTGTAGGAAAGCCAAAGCGAGGCTGTCCACCAAAACGGTGTGGCCGGCACCATGCCAGCGATACCCTTTGGGAGCAAGTAGTCAGGATAGATGCTGTGTTGCTGACATCCAGTTACCGATGTCGTTGTTCTCTTTCTCCGGACAGCTGTCCTACTCCGTGTTTGCCCTGACATCTTTAGATTCGCATGTCTTTAATCATGCTGCTTCTCCCCAGACCCAGAATGTGCACCCCTTGAGGCCCACCTCAGGTACTGCCTCCTCCAAGAAGCCTTCCCTGATTCCTCCAGTGGTCAGTGCCCTGCCTCCCTGTTTCCTTTACCTGTTTGTTTTGATCATACTGTCATAGATTAAGAGCTAGAAGGGACCCTAAGTCATTAAAGAAGCTTCCCTTCCCAGCCTTGTCATTGCACAAAGGAGGAAACTGAGGCAGTGTAGAATGACTGAATGCTTTGCCGACGTACAGTCTCGGCTCAGAGGCCGTTATGCCTGGACCCTGCACTGAGGGGTCCAAGCATATAGGGCACACAGGAGCATATAGAGGTATTGGGGGAGGGCATGTATGTGTGTCTAGAGACGGGTACATGTGGACAGGTGGGTGCAGGTGTGGCCATGGGCATGCAGGAGTTCCCAGAGGCATGTAGATGGGGGCACGTGGGCTCTGGGATGTCCAGGTGTGGATGTTCAGGTTGCCCAGAAGCGTTCGTGGGCACGTAGGCGTGTCCAGAGGTGCAGATGTAGACAGGTGCGTCCAAGGGCATCCAGCCCTGTCGAGAGGCATCACAAGAGTTCGCGTGTGCAGGAAGCCCTTCATCAAAGTCGGGTGGCTTCGGTGGGATCTAGCACTACCAGATCTCTAAGCACCTCCCAACTTGGGACTCCCGAACCGTCCCCGAGTTCCTCTCTTCCTTCTCCCCCCTCCCCCCCCCCCCGTTGTCATGAAGACTCAGAGTGTGACTCCCCGCAGGCTGGTGCCATAGGGATCTCCCATAATTGCCATGGGGACTTGAGTTCACCTTTCCCCAGCCGTTGCCATGGAAACTCCTCGCACACTCTAAGTCTAGAGTCATCAGGGGAGCAGAGGAGGGGATTGTTGGGGGCCTGGGCTGGGGACGGGGGCGGGGGGGGGAACAGGGGGACTGCGCCTAAGCAATAGGAAGCGCGCCTAGCAGCACTAGCTTTTCCTCAATACATTTGATTCTTGGACTCCATATCCCAGCGAGCCCCGCGAGAGGATGAAAGGCAGGCCAGAAGCTCCCGCCTTTAGACAGGGACAGTGTGAGGCCCGGACACGGGGTGTCCGCTCTCCCCACTTGGGGCCCCGTCCCTGAGACACATCTCTGTGGACGCCCCAAGTTCAAGGGTTCGGAGGCCTGGTCCTCCCTTGGATCGAGGAGAATTGTGGGAGTGGTAGTCCACAGGCCTGCCCTTGCGCAGGCGCACTTCCCAGAAAGGAGACGTGATCGAATGCGTAGCACCAGTGCGAACCTTTGGCCCGGAAGCACAAAGGCCCAGTCCCGGACATTTCTGGGATTCGTAGTCTGGTGGGCCCCGGCACCTCGAGGCGCAGGCGCAGTCCATGACGAGGCCTAGCCACAAACGCTGTTGTCCCGCTCTGCCAGGTGAGTCTGGCCCAGGAGCGGGACGCGGAGGGCTGGGGCACGGGGTCTCCATGGCAGCGGCTGGAGGGGGAGGTGTTGCACCTGGTTTCCATGGTAACGGCTTGGGCGGGAGGTGGGAAAGGGTTCTGTGTCTTCTCAGCGTGGCCTGTTGGGCGGGGCCGTAGCACCTGCTGTGGGCGGGGCCTGGAAGGGGAAGAAGCTTAGAAATTCTCCTTTCCCCAATCCTCCACACCCTCCTTCTTATTTCCTGCACATAGCAGGAGCTTACTAAGTGCTGGTTGATTAACTGGGGGTAGAGGGCGGGGAATTCAGAGCCCAAAAGTGCTTAGAGATCTTTTCTAGTGCCAGTGCCCTGTAGACACCGGCTTGATAGGATCCAGGGCTGGAAGATGCTTAAAAATTCCCACCCCTCCTTCTGCACACAGCAGGCGCCTACTAAGTGCTGGCCGACTAATGGGGTGGAGGAATCTGGAGTCAGAAGGTGTTTAGACCTGCGCCTGCTCCCAACACACGTACAGTGCCAGGTTAGTGTTTATTAATTGGCCAAATGAGAATTCAGGGCTAGAAGGTGCTTGGAGTTTCTCAGCCATAGGAATCACTCTAGCAACCCCTTCTCCCAATGGAACAAGTCTGTATTAGGTATCTTTTGGGTGCATGGTACTTTGCTGGGTGCTGCCCTCGAGGAGCTCCCCATCAGGGGTAGGGAGACACCAGGTTCACTGACTGCATGTTGTTCAGAATTATATGGGAGATCCCCAAAGGCAAAAGGGGATGAGAGGTGCCCCGGGGCAGGATTGAGGAAGGGGGTTCTTCAGGGACTAAGGGAAAGATAAAACATGTAGGGCCTATGCCCCAGAGCCAGAGTGGGAAGGGCTTCAATGACCAAAAGGAATTTAGATTTGATTGTGGAGGCCATTACTAGAATTTGTTGAGTGGGGAAGGAGGTGACCAAGGCTGCACTTTAGGAAGCTCCCTTTGGTAGGAATGGAGAGAGGCCTAGGGCCAGCGGTCATCTAGCAGGCTATGGCAACAGGCCAGGTGTGAGGTGATGAGGGTCTGCAGCAGGGTGGGTACCATACCAGAGGAGAAAAGGGGGGCATATTGAAGAGATGCTGCAGAGGTGAAACGGATCAGAGGTACTGCATAGGTAAAATGGACCAGAGATGGTATGGAGGTGAAACGGACCAGAGATGCTGCACAAGTGAAATGGACCAGAGGTGCTGCAGAGGTGAAATGGCCCAGAGATGGTACGGAGGTGAAATGGACCAGAGATAGTGTGGAGGTGAAATGGACCAGGGATGCTACACAAGTGAAATGGACTAGAGGTGCTGCAGAGATATGGACCAGAGATGGTGTGGAGGTGAAATGGACCAGAGATGCTACACAAGTGAAATGGACTAGAGGTGCTGCAGAGATATGGACCAGAGATGGTGTGGAGGTGAAATGGACCAGAGGTGCTGCACAGGTGAAATGGACCAGAGATGGTATGGAGGTGAAATGGACCAGAGATGGTGTGGAGGTGAAATGGACCAGAGATGATGTGGAGGTGAAATGGATCAGAAATGGTGTAGAAGTAAAATCCACAAGCATTGACACCATATTGGATCTTAGGGATGAGAGATAATGAGGAATCCAGGATGACTTATAGGTTGGGAGCATGAGGAACTGGGAGAATGGGGGTACCCTCTACAGTGACAGGGAAAGTGGAGGGTGGAATTACAGGGGTGGGAAACCTGCAGCCTGGAGACCACATGTGGACCTCTAGGTCCTCAAGTCCACCCCTTTGACTGAATCCAAAGTTCACAAAACAAATCCCCTTAATAAAAAGATTTGTTCTGTAAAACTTGGACTTAGTCAGAGGGCTGCACTTAAGGACCTAGAAGGCCACATGTGGCCTCAAGGCCACAAGTTCCCCACCTCTGGTTTAGGAGAAAGGAAATGAGTTCTGTTTTGAGCATATTACCTTTAAGATATCTGCTGGACACCCAATTCGAGTTAGAGATATGAGATTGGAGGTCAGCAGAGATTGGGGCAGGAAAGGTGGATTTGAGAGTCATTCACAGAGAGATGGTCATTCAATGCTTGGGAGCTGATGAGATTCTCCAAGTGAATTAGTATAGAGGAAGAAGAGGAGAGGGCCTAGGACAGACCTGGGGAACTGTTAGTGGGTGAGCCCTGGATGAAGATCCAGGAAAGGAGACAAGGAAGTGGTTAGAGGAAAACCAGAGAGGATTCTTCCAAAAACCTGGAGAGAAGAGAGAATCCAGGAGGAGAGAGTGATCAGTAGTATCCAAGGCTGCAGACATCAAGGAGAATGAAAACTGAGAAAAGGCCATTGGACTTAGCCACTAAGAGATCCTCGGTGACTTTGGAGAGAGCAGTGTGGGTGGAGTGATGAGAAACCAGACTATAAGGGGGTAAGAAGGGAGTGAGAGGAGAGAAAGTGGAGACCACCTTATATAGGAAGAGAGATAGCGGATGATAGTTAGTGAGAAGGGATGGCTCCAATGAGAGTTTGTTTTGGAGACTTGGGCATGTCTGTAGGCAGTAGATAAGGAGCCAGAGACCCTGGGACTGGGAGATTGGAAGCTATCTTGTAGTCCTTTGTGTCATAGGGTAAAAGGATTTAGCTTTAGGCGTCTTGGACTCCATTGTTTCATGGGAACCCCCCACCCCCACCCCAATCTCATAGATGGAAACTGAGGCCCAAAGAGGAACAATGGGATTTAGTTGTAGAATCAGAAATGAAACCTTTAGTATCTATTGCAGGATTTAAGTCTGGAAGACACCTAGAAATATTTGAGGCCATTCTGCTGTTGTTTTGAAGATGGGGAAACTGAGGCTCATTGATTAGGAGCTGCAGTCATTCACCCCATCAATGACACAGAGGTAGTCCTCTGCAGTTTTGTTATGTTCAGAGAGCCCAGGGCATCGACACGCAGGGCCTTCTCTGACCCCAGCCTTCTCTACAGGCACTTTGCAGTTTGCAGACAGTCGCTGGAGGAAATGTGGGCGACAGGGTCCCTGGGGGAGCAGCTCCTCAAGGCCAAGGTTGAAGAGGCCAAGGAAGGTACTGAGCCCCCTGCCAGTGACTCCTGCACCTGGGGGAAGCTGCCTCAAGGAGAGGCTTCCAGGGAGTGGCTCTTCATGGAGGGCCTGCTCCCGGAGCAAGGGCTGCGAGGTGAGAGGGTCCCTGGGCAGGGAGGGAGGACCTGGGCCAAGCACCGTCCCCTCTGGACATCCCTGCCAGCCGGGCCCCTCTCTGTGGGGTTCAGTGTGGACCCTTCCAGGAGGAATGGCCACGGTTGAGGAGCTGTGGCCCTTGCCCCCACTGACAGAAAGAAAGGCTGAGGGATGTCACCCTGGAGTCCAGGAGGGCCTGGCAGCCGGCTCTGACATCCGACAGGCTCAAGCTCCGTCCTGTTTTGCTGAGGAGGAAGCTGAAGGCCAGAGTGCTGGAGTAGTCACGTCCTGGGTCCTCAGAGCAGCCCTGGGAGCTGGGCCCAAGGGGTCCCCCACTGTGCAGAGGAGGAGGCAGGCCTGGGGCAGACAGCTCTCTGAGCCGCCCTAGGTATGAAGGAGGGCTGGGGGCCAGGAGTGGGGCCTTCTGCCTTGGAGCCCTGGCCTGCCTTGGGTTAGCCTGGCCAAGTGTCACCAGGAGCTCCTGCCTCCTGTCTCCAGGGCTTCCGCGAGCTTCCTAAGACCCCCTTTAGAGGCTGAGGCAGCTGCTGAAGACAGTCAGAGTTGGGTCTTTGGAGCCTTCACATCTTCTCTCTGGGCCTCAGTTTCTTCCCCTGCAAAGTGGGGGTTGGGCCTCCTTGTCAACTCAGAATTCCAGGCTGAGCCAAGCAAGTGGTATCTGTGCTGCTGTCCCCCAGCGCTCACACAGCAGGTGTCCCGAGGATGCAGGCCAGAGCTCAGGCCCTCCTTGTGCCCTGGGGAGCAGTGTCGGAGTGCCTGCTTCTCCTGGGTCCCTGGCCACCACCTGGGGGAGGGGGCCTGGCCTGGAGGGTCTCCACCTCACAGCTGCTTTCTCATCCCCAGCTCTGCCTTCTCAGGACTTGGCCCTGCCCGCAGCTGGCACTCTACAGGAGGTGGGACAGGCCCCAGGTCTGCCAACAGCTACATGCCAGGTGAGTGGGCATCCTGGCCTCTTCTGCCCCCAGTAGCCATGGCTAGCAGCCTAAGCTTTGGCTGCTTTCCCTCCTTGGAGATAACGGTCCCTTCTCTCCCCAGCTGGGACCCTCCCAGTGAGTACCTGGCTAATGCAAAGCTGCTGGGGGCCGAGTGCCTGACCCAGGTCCCCAGGTCAGGCCTCCTCCGATGGTGCTGGGGGGCCTGAGGTTTGGAGGCCTGAGAGATCCCGGGTCCAAGCCCCTCATACCCATCCTGTGTGTGGGAAAGACAGGTCCAGCATCCTATAGGAGGTAGGGTCAGCAGAAGGAAGAGGGCCGGAAGCTTGGGAGGAGAGGTGGGGGCTCAGTGAGGATGGAAATCCTCAGCCAGCTGAGACTTGGCCCGAGGGTCCAAACTGAACCGAGATCCTGGACTGGGAAAAAGGAGGCTGCTTCGGGCTCCAGGGAAAGGGATATGAGAGCTATCCTTAGAACTGGGATGGACAGTCATCCAGTAGGGACGGTGACTGTGGGCAGACACAAGGGCCACGCGTGAACCTTGAAGGCTGGATCTCAGGAAGGCCTTTGTGAGGAGGAGGCTGGTCCCCTGTGCAGTGACCACGGTTCCCAGCCAAGGGCTGAGACAGCTGCCCTCTGCTGGGATGGGTCAGGAGTGGGTGAGTGTCACCACTGGGCCCCCCAAGAGCAAGGGCCATTTTTTCTCTCTTTCATTCTGTTACGAGGCATGGCTCACAGGGGCAGGGAGCGACCTCTTGGGAAGGGTGGTGATGCAAGGAGGAAAGATTCCAAAAATAGGATTCTTTACGAGTGTGAGTGTGAGCAGAGCCCAGGCAGTGACTGGCCTGGCTGGCCAGGCCAGAGGAGGAAGCGAGGCCCAAACCCATGGGAGGGGAGTTAGGGTCAGGGTCAGGGGCGGGATTTGAGCCGGCCACTCAAAGCTCATTTCTTTTAGAAATTTTGAAGGATTTTATTTACTTTACAATTACATTGAATACCTGTGCACATCCCTGCCTCATTCTGCACTCCGAGTCCTCCTCTCTGTCAGAAGGGGGTGGGGCATGTCTCACCATGTGTCCTCATTGGTTGTTGGTTGCTCCCCGTTCCTGCGTCTCTCTTTCCCATGTTGTCGTCAGTGTATGTGTCATTCTCAGGGTTCTGCTCCCCTTCCTCTGCATCAGTTTGTGCACATCTTCCCAGCTTTCTCTGAAACCATCCCCTTCCTGCTTTCTTAGGGCACAGTAGTCTTCTGTTACATTTCTACCCTGGAACGTGTAGCCAGTCCCCAGTTGATGGAAATCTTCTTATCCCTATTCTTTGTCACCTCAAAAGGAGCTGTAAATATTTCTGTACATCTTTAGTTAGAGTTGGTTTTACTTAACACGAAACCCTCCCTTAAGCAACCCTCCTCTTATCCTCCCTTTTCCTTTTTCCTCCCCTTTCCCTGTTGAGTGAAATGTGTTTTTATACCCAGCTCTGTGTGTGTGTGTGTGTGTGTGTGTGTGTGCATTGTTCCTTCCTTTGATTAGTTCAGATGGAGTGAGGTTCAAGGGTCAGCCTCTCTCCCCTCCCTCCACTTGCATGCCCCTGTTCTGTGAGAGAATTCCCCCTCTGGCCCAGCACATTGCTCTTCTTTTCTGTTCTTCTGGTGGGTGATGAAGATGACCAGGGCCTAGCAGAAGCACTCCCAGCCTTCTGTCTAAATGGATGTTCTCCCTGACCCTGACGATGACGGGGATCACCTCCCATTCCATTGGAATGGAAGCCATTTGTCCTGGTGTGGCTCCTTATGAGTGTTCTTTGAGTTGCCATTTTGTTTCTCCAGTGTTTGAACTGGGCAGCTCTGGTCTTTTCATCAGGAATGCTGGGAAATCCTCTGTCTCCTTAAAGGTCCGTTTTCCCACTGTAGGATTATCCTCGGAGGTGTGATTCCAGCTCCTTTGCCTTCTGGATGATCACGGTCCAGGCCCTCTGCTCTTTAGCATGGTGTCTGGTGGATTGTGTGGGCCCGACTGAGGCTCCCTGGGCCTTGAGTTCTTTCTTTCTGGCTGTGTGCAGGGATTATTCTGTGGCCTGGAAGCTCTAGATTTTAGCAGCTATTTCTGGGTACTGTCATTTGGGGGTTTCTTTCCGGATGTGACTGGTGGGTTCTTTCTGTTTCCCCTTTGCCCCCTGGTTCCAGAGCTCTGCGCAGTTGTCTTGGAAGATTTCTTGAAATATGATGCCTAGGCTCTCCTTTTGGCTGTGGTTTTCAGGTGGCCCAAGGATTCTTACATTTTTTTCTCCTTCATCTGTTTTCTGGGTCAGTTGTTTTTGTTATGAGATACTTTGCTTTTTCTTCTGTTTTTTTTTTTCCCTAGCCTTTTGCCTCAGTTTTAATCTTTCTGATTTTCAGGGAGTTTGTTGCTTCGGTAAAGTTTTATATTTTTTGTTCCAAGCTGTACATCCTCTTTTCAATTCTTTTTTTTTCCTGTAGCTCTCATCTCTTTTCCATTTTTTTTCTCCAACATTATATATACACAAACAACCTTTTTTTTTTTAAGCTCTTCATCTCTTTTAGGAATTCTAGTTAAGTTTGTGCCCAGGCTTCATTGATCTTTGCGGCCTTGCTTGTAGATGTTGGGGAGTCATTCTCTTTTTCCGGGTTTGTGTCTCGAACACCCCTGTCCCCATAGCAGCTCTCTTCTTTTGTTTGCCCGTTCTTCCAGCCCCTGTCCTGACTTCAGACTGGATGTACCCTTGTGAAGGGAGAGTCTGGGCTCGCCCTGTGGTGTTTCCTTGGTGTATGGAGCTATTCTGCTCCGGTAACTCAGGGACAGCTAAGGCTTTAGACCTGCACGCTTCCAGCATGCCCGTGGGATGCAGAGCAGAATCCAGTCGCGGCCCCCTGGTCCTCGGCCTCCGCCAGGCAGCAGGCTCCTGCCCTGGCTGTCCCACCGCAGGCTTCAGACGGGGCTAGAAACTGGAGCTGAGTCCCTGCTCTGCTCCCGGGCTCCGCGCCCCCCTGCTGCTTGCTCCTGGTCTTGGGTTTGTTACTGATTCTCGCCCAGGAATACCCCCAGTGGGTTTGGTCCTCTCCACAGTCTACCCGGGGTCTGTGCTCTGGACCTGGGGAGTGGGCAGGAAGGCTGCCTACAACAGTCTCACAAGTCCATGAGACATTGCAGTGCAGCTAGAATTATTACAAGAGAAATGGACATGCATGTGGGTCCCAAAGCCAAAGCCCAAAGTTCACGATCCCAACAGAAGTTTGCGTATTTATGAGCGTGCCACAAAGGAAGGAGGACACAGAAATCTTTACCTAAGGGGCCTGGCGTGGAGGGGAAGGAGCGGGCTAGGTGGGAAGGGGAGGGGCAATGCCATGGCAAAAGCCACCTCTCTTCCCTTGGGAACCGCTAGACCGTGAAGACAGGAGGGTCTCCTCATGCCCAGGGTCCCAGCTGCACCAGCATTATTCCAGCCTGGGATAGACCTGGGCACACAGGGAGTCCAGCTCGAGGTGGGGTGGGGCTTTCATCCTTGACCCCTTCAGAGCCTCCTGCACGCTCTGGGTCCAGTATTTCTGGAAAATGTGGCAGCTCAAAAAGACAAGTTCAGGGGAGCCTTTCTCAGTCCTCAACACGGGTCGACCCTGTTCCTGGTGGCCACAGACCTGTCCGTGTGTCCCCTGGGCCGGCGAGGGCTGGAGAAATGACTCACGATGGATTTGTCTTCACTTTCGGCGTCAGGACTGGTCTGGGGTGATTTCTGGTCTTCTGGAGGGGCTCCAGAGCTGGGGGAGAAGCGCCTTGTTCATCTCCCTCTGCCTCTGCCATCTTGAGGGTTGGGGCCCTGGGAAGTCCTGGGGAGCGGTACTGGTTTGTCCTTCTTTGTATCCCCAGCATTTATTTAGCACAGTGCTTGGCACACAGTAGGTGCTTCATCAATACCAGCTGGTTGCCTCATGATGGGTTTCCTGGGGACCCTGGTTGGCACTGTCTAGCAGCCCCGGCAGGCTGACTTGCTGCATCGGCAGCCTGCCCAGAGAACTTGCCATGGCTGAGCCACTGTGCAAGGGCTCCTTAGGGCAGATCCAAGGGCCAGGCCTGCTCAGGGACATGTGTCACCAGACTGGCAAAAGGAGAATCTGGGGGATGGTCAGCCGGGTGGCTGAGTGCTTAAGCATGAAACTTTCCAAGGAAAACCAGGCTTTCAGTGTGTAGACAGGTGCAGGCAGGGATTGGGGCAGCTGGTGCCAGGGTTTTCTCTTCTATGGCAGGACAGCTCCCACCCCACTCCCTTCCCAGCCTGCCATCCCCACTCTGGAGGCTGGACAGGGCAGATGGGGGAGGTGGTGGTCAACAGCAAAACTCTTCTGAGGAGGGACAGGGTGAAAGGAGAAAGAGTAGAATAAACAGGGAAAATAGGATGGAGGGAAATACACAGTAATAATAACTGAAAAAAATCACAATAAGTTTCTCTGATAAGGCCTTATTTCTCAAATATATGGAGAACTGAGTCATTTATAAGAGTACAAGTCATTCTGCAATTGATATATGGTCAAAGGATATGAATAGGCAGTTTTCAGAAGAAAAAATCAAAAGTATCTATAGTCATATGAAAAAAGTGCTCTAAATCACTGTTGATTAGAGAAATGCAAATTAAAACAACTTTGAACTACCACCCCACACCTATCAGAATAGCTAATGTGACAGAAAATTAAAATGACAAATGTTGGAGGGGATGTAGGAAAAGTGAGACCCTGACACACTGTTGGTAGAGCTGGGAGCTCCAGCCATTCTGGAGGACAATTTGGAACTCTGCCCAAAGGGTTATCAAACTGTGCACACCCTTTGACCCAGCAATACCCCTACTAGGTCTGTATCCCAAACAGAGAAAAAGCAAAAAGGAAAAGGACTCACATGTACAAAAATGTTTATAGCAGCTCTTTTTGAGGTAGCAAAGAGTTGGAAATTGAGGGGATGCCTATCAGTTGGGAAATGGCTGAACAAGTTGTGGTA